ATAATTTAGCCTTTATTCAAGACCTTTTCAAGAGTAATTAAAGGTCCTACATTTTTTTTAATTATTTCAATCAAGTACTCAAGCTTTTAATTATTTCAATTATACCCCTACATTTTGCGATTACCCCCTAAGCCAAAACATAACCATATCAATTAGTAGTACCAATCTCTAATTCACTCTTCTTTTATTCCATAATCCTTCCATTATAATCGTACTTGTATCTAATTTATCCTTAATACAAGTATAAACTTATATTTCTTACTTTATTTAAATATCCATTTATTATTTAAGCAAAATATCCTTCCATTGTATTTACCTTTAAGCATTTGCTTCACCCTATTTGTTCGTTGTCTAAGCAACAGCATTAACTATTTCTTTCAGATCCGTACTATTCTTACTCAAACCCATATCGCTAATGTTATAATCCTCTAATTCACCTTTTAATTATTTCATTCATTTTCCATTTAATTCATTTACCCTCCATAATAATTATACTTATATTGATTAACTCTTTATTCAAGCATAATTTATCAATTATTACTTTAAATAAATATTTATTAAATAAATAAATAAATTATTCTTTTAAACATATTTACTTTTAATGAGGTTCTTAGGTCGCGGATATTTCATTCTTCCCTCCTTATAAAAATTCTTTCCTCGAAATTTCCACACGATTACTAATATTTTTCAATTATCATCAATCATTTAACACGAATGGTTCCTAATAATTGATCATTAAACCTAATGGTTATAAACCTCTATTCACGAATCCTTTAATTCTTTTTCATCTCTCGTAGTGCAACATTCTTTTTTTATCCTTTTTAGAAGGGTATGCATTAGATTATTCTCTTATGAGTTCTCTTTTTATAGCTCAAGAGTATATATTAGATGATTTTCTTTACATACCATTTAGATTTTTCTCTTGACATGTTATCCTTAAAACATCTAGGGATATCCACCGGACCATCTCTTCTTTACACACTAATAGTATTCACCGGATCATTCTCTTAGTATGTCCTTTTTCATTTGGCACACAAGGATATTCATTAGATCATTCCTGTTGTGTGCCTTGCAAAGATTTTTCATTATATCATTCTCTTTGTTAGCCTTTCCCTTGGATACCCCCTCCAAATACAAGATCTTGTATGCTTACTACATTTTCCGTACAATTTTTCTTTCCTTAAACATAACGACATTCTTTTCCTTCAACATGAATACCTTTCCTTATACCTAAATCTATTCTTTTATCTTACATAATAGCAATCTTGCCAACCTTGCAAAGAGTATCCTATAGATCATGTTTTTTTTTTCTAAATTTATTTTATCTTTTTGTTTTAAGAAATAAAAAAAGAAAAAAATGAAAAGATTGATGAGAAAATAAGAAATTTTATGAAATAAAAATAATATTATATTAAATATGGTCAATACTGATTAAAAGACTAAATAATATTTTTGAAACAAACATGACTAATTAATTTGTATCTTAGAACTAGAGGGACTAATTTATAATTTACTCCAAAAATATTTCAATTTAGGAAAAGAAAAAAAAAGCAAAGGAGGGGGAAAAGATGGTTTAAATTTGCATGATTTCATAATGCCTTTTATTTTTCATTAAAAGATTGGGAAATGGATTTTTTTTTTTTAATTAGATAATGAGATTTGAGGCATATGTGTTCTTTTTATTTTTTTTTATTTGTATTTATGAAATTTTTTCAATTAAGTACATTCGTTAGTTTTGTTATAGAATATTGACATGATAGTTAACTCTCCGTCAAGTGGACTTATATTGATATTATTTTAATATTTTTTATTTTTTAACGAAGTACTTGTATTTTATGATTTTTTTTTATTTTAGTATATGTACTATTTTTTTAAATTAAGTACTTGTACTTATAAAAATTTGATCAATCAAGTATTTTTATAAACTTGCTAGTACAAATTAGCTAACATGTTGATTATTTTCAATACAATTGGGTCACTGTATTTGAAACAACCATGGTTATGCCATTTTTCAACGAGTTTTTTCCATCAATAAATTTTAAGAAATAAATTAAAAAGAAAACAAATAAAAATAAAAAAATTAATTAATTAAGTGATTTTATATTGTCCTCACTTGTTAATTAGGTTTAGTTTTATTCAACAATAGAAGCTTAAAAAAACCCTAACGATGAGTAACATAGATATAAATTCACCTAATTAATTAGTTAGTTAATTTTATTATTTTTTAAGTTTTTTGTTATTTTAAAAAATAGTATAAGTAATCAAATAGAAAAAATAAATAAATAACTTCATCTATTTTTATATAATTTTACAACTCGTCCAATATATCCCTAAGTTTCTAATGTATCTATTACTCCATTTTTCATATATATATATATAGTTTTTTAAACGGAGAAAGTATGTACCGCAGTATAATAACTAATTCTCTAATAAGTCCTACTTGTTAAGTTTTTTTCATCCAAATTGATAGAATTATATATTTTATTTCACAAATACTCTTGAGTTATATAAGGATATAATATTCAAAATTGCTCAAATTTTTATAGGAAACGAAAAAAAAATCAAAATTACACAACCATTAAAATTTTGAGAAATATTTTTTAATTATTTTTTCAAAATTAAAATAATATTCTTATATTGTTGAAGGACATTTTCAAAACAATATATATATATAATTTTGTCAAAATAATATTGGAGAAATGCTATTATATACCAACATAATAGACACAATTAAAAACATAGAAACATATAGAAGATTTGTCAAATTATATATAAGAATGTATTGAGTTATTTATCTTTAAAAAATTATGAAATGCTTTACTTCATATATCATTTATCTATATCAATTTATAAATTTATAACACCTAGCCCACTTCATTAAGAAATAACTGCCATATCGATATATTTGTAATATAAACCAATTGAGGAATTTGATTGATCAAATTTCATATATACAAGTACTAAAAAAAGATTTATGGCTCATGGCTCATATATATATATATAGTGTAAACCATTCATCTATCTTGATAAGCTTGATTTGCAAGGTTGATCGACTAATGTCACATAACCCAAAGGAATGATTGCATGCAATCATTCTATATTTACTGGTTTAGATATTAAAAAAATATATATATTGAAAGTTAACAAAAATACAAATTAAAAGGAAAAAGGTTTAAGCATACGAGTTCTCCTTATTACACTCAAACATAACAAAAATATATAGTTCACTAATGTACGAAAAAGGACAAATATTTAGCTTTTCATAAAAGAACAACCATCAAACATGCTCTTAGAAGCTCTCCTTAAAGTTCAACGAGTAGGTCAAATTTGACATCTTAATAAGGCTCTCATCTTGATGGTGATAGACGTGGATCTAACACTTGACTCAAAGTTATAACCGGAGCCGATGATGATAAGAGATCTCCTGGTCGCTTTCCCATCAATGTTTCCAATGACACAACTCCAAAACTATAAACATCACGAGTTTTTAGTCACCTCCATAATATAAGCAAGTTACGCTCATCAACAAAATGAGATAGAATTAATACAAGATTATTTACATAAGTGAACGTGTAAAGACCTTACAACAATTACCATTTTCCGCATAAATTTTGTACATTAGATAATTAATGTGTCTCATAGCCCCTCTAAAACTTTTTAAAATCTTCTTTACGTCGTTAATTATAAGATAAGTTGCTCTAGAAAAGATGATTTTCTTGTCTAATTGGCCTCCCCAAATCACAAAAATAACTAGATAAAAAGGTTGTTTTTTTCTAACTTTTGTGATTAGCAATCAAATTTTTTGACTTTTTATAAGTTTGTTTGCTTTTATCCAATCATCTAATTAGTTTATTGTGGTAGGAGTATTGGTTCTCTCATTATGTGTAATCGGTGTAGGAGTGGTCCACACTATAATGAGAAGAAAGATTTAAACACAGGGCAATGTATCCATAAGTTCTTACGAGAATAGTATTGTTGGATGAATTGGGAAGAAGAAGTCTAGCCACACCAAAATCAGCAACAAAAGCCTTCAATTCCGAATTCAACGGAACATTGTTGCTCGAAATGTCTCATGAACAATTGATGGAGAGCAATCATGATGCAAGTAAGATACTGCATGAGCAATGTCTTTGATGATGTTCACTCTTTCATCTAATTCGGTTCTATAGCTTCGACATCATTTCTCAAGACACAAAGCAAGCTTCCCCTTTCCATGTATTCGTAAATGAGAAACATGCATCGTTGGTGCAAACGGAATCCGAAAAGCTTTACAATGCTCCTATGTCGTATTTGTGTGAGCAGTTTCACCTCATTCTTGAAACTCTTGTCAAAACCGGCATCCTCGGCCTCTCGATGATGAAGTTTCTTTAAGGCAACTACTCTTCCGCTTAGAAGTTGTGCTCGTAGACATTCCCATAACCACTAAATCCAATACAATATCTAATGTCAAAGTCCTCCGTCGCTACAATGACATCTTCAAATGCAATTTTCCCGCCATAATTCCATACGGAAAATAAGTCTCCATTCTTCAATGTGGTTGACTCAACTTCGGTAGCTTTGCCCTTACGTTGAAAGAGCAAATAACATCCAAGGAAAGAGAGAAAAAGGTGGATGGTGATAGTGATGGTAATGGGAAGAAATATTTTGACATAATGGATGTTTTTGCTGTGTTTTGGATGTAAGAATGAAGAACTTGGAGGCGAACAACTTGAGAAATTAAGTTACAAATTTATGTTGCCTTCAAATGCAATAAATGACGGGTTTACGGGATCATGTATGCTTTGGTCATTTAAAGAACGGCACATTACGAGAAAATTGAAGGGGTAGAGAGGCCAATCAATCTTAACGAAGCCCGATAGATTATTGTAACTAAAATTGACAAAATGTAACGACAAGTTATATAGTTGAGAAGGTATCTCCGCACTTAAGTTGTTGCGACTCAAATCCGGGGTTGTTAAAGAAAAGCAATTCCCCAATGATGAAGGGATGGACCCGATGATCTAGTTGCTAGAAAGGTTCAAAGCACTCAAGTTGGTTAAATTGCCTAATGTATGAGGAATCAAACCAATGAGCTTGTTGAAGTCAAGATTTAGTTCCTCAAAATGCTTCAAGTTTCCTAATTCCAAAGGGATGGATCCATTGATTTCATTACAATAAAGGATCGGATGACTCAAACTGGATAAACGATTCAATGTAAAAGGAATAGGACCAACAAGGTTATTGTGATCGAGATCTAACTCTTCAAGCTTCTCCAAATTTCCTATTTCCAAAGGCATTGAACCAACAAGACAATTAAAATTGAGAACTAACTCTTCAAGCATCGTCAAATTTCCTATTTTTGAAGGGATGAATTTATTGATTCTATTGTTATAAAGGCTTAAAGACCTCAACTTGACTAAATTACCTAGTATTTGAGGGATTGGACCAATAAGTGCATTATTACTTAGGTCTAGAACCTCTAGATTTTTCATATTTCCTATTTCCAAAGGAATTGAACCAACAAGCTTATTAATATTGAGATCTAGCTTTTCAAGCATTGATAAATTTTCTATTTACGAAGGGATGGATCCGTTGATTCCATTATGAGGAAGACTTAAATACCTCAACTTAACTAAACTACCTAGTGTTTGGGGGATTGGACCAATAAGTTCATTATTACCAAGATTCAAACCCTCTAGATTTTTCATATTTCCTATTTCCTATTTCTCTAGGGATGACACCTCTAAGATAATTGGAATCCATGACCAAGTGCTTCAGATCTGTTCAAATTACAAAGTGTTGAAGGGATGGAGCCAAAAAGGTAATTGTTGGATATGTTCAAAACAAGAAGATTTGTAAGATTGCCTAATTTTGGAGGGACATAACCGTAGATATAATTGTAAGAAATGTCAAGTTTCACTAACCGGCTAAGGTTCGCAAGTGAAAATGATGGTAACTCACCTGTCGGAAAATTTACGGACGGGTCGAGGTACCCGAGTTTTGAAAGAACGGAAATTTGAGGTGGAATGCCTCCACCGAGCTCATGGTTGGCCAGTGTCGAGATGAACAAGGTTTGAGAAGCAAGAAAAGTTCATATTCCCAAACTTAGTTCTCACCTTGAGGAACTTTGAAGGTGGAGAAATCCCAATGATGCTTCCAGCCTCATTACAAACTATACCAGGCCACCTGCAATAATCTGAAGGGAGATTGCTGCAGTTACTCCACCATCCACTCTCAAGCAAAGCCTTGCCTTCTGATGCTAGCAAGGCTGAGTCAAGTGGAACCACAATACGTGACAAAAGAAATATGATGCCTATAGTTGCAAGAAGTTGCGACTCATAATAGAAGGACACCATGCTTGTGTTTAATGCTTGCCTTCAACGAAAAATGCTAAATTTATGCACAAAGAAATTTAAAGGTGCATGCATGTATTTCTCATTCTCGTCTGGTCTTTCTTGTTCACAGCCACACTTAATTTCCAAACCAAAGCTGATGATGTACGGGTCCACGCGGGATGCCGTTTTCTAACCCAATTAAAGCGTTTATAAAAGGACATTAATTCTATCCGGTCCAATTTGACTAATGCAGAAGCTTCATATTCTCTGCCTCCCTTTTTCCACAAAGAAGAAAACTTTCACCAATAATATTATATCAACAGCCTATGGAAATTAAGAAGAACATCAGTTTATCTATCCTCCTCCTTTCATGGAAAGAGACCCAGTAGAAATAATAATGCTAATACAGGTAGGTATTCAGATCCTCTTGCAATGTCTAATTGGAAATGCAAACTTTTTTGTAGTTGAGTCAAGATTGTCAGTATTCGAACTTGCACCAACACATGGGTTCAAGACCTGGAGAAATATCCAACACGCCCGCTTCTACGAAAAACAATAGTTACAATGGCATACATTATTCAGTTCTTACTCACCTTTCCAACTGATTGGAGAAGCATGTTGCAAATTAATTCATCAGGTTAACTATGTTGATGCAGGCAATTTTGCTGCAGCTTGGCCTCACAGTCCATATTCTCATCAACTAATTTAGATTGTATGATCAGATCCTTTACATTATTCAGTTCTCAACAATGAATTCTTGAATTTCTATTCCTGTATGTCGGGCCCCTCCTTGTATTCGTAATAATACCTCATCTCCAACTTTCAGTGAAGTGACAGGAATCACTGCTTTTAGCAGTCCGTTTCCTGCAGAAGATAGTTTGGGTTTAGAATATTCAAATATGCAAGATGAAGAGAAACAATTGAACAAATAAATAACTCAAAACATGCAGAAAGTAAAATAGCAGTCCTTACAGACCTTCACAAGGAGCGACTAAGCCAACTGTTTCTGCATTCTGGAGGAAAATGCTGTACAGAGTTTGATCATCTGACTCAATCTGTAACACCAAACATTCTCTAAGATTTCGAATACTATTTTTTTCCAACAGCATCAACAAGTTCTTTAACATAATTCTGCAGGACAGAAGTAGTTAGTAGCCAGACCATCTTGAATTGCAACTTATTACTCTTTACTAATTAACTTAATTAGTTCTGATCAACTGACTTAAATCCCCCTTGTTAGACCTTTAATCACGCTGAAGATAGTTGTTAGCAGTAGCATTTTACCAAGATGATGACATATTGAGATAGTTCAGAGAAACAAATTGCAGAGTCTGTAAGTACTCAAAATTTTTCACTATCTGTGGATTTGTAATATTTTAGAAGAAAAATAGATCATGCTTGGTAATGGTATACTGATACATGCCTTTGCCTCAACAAGGATAAGAGGTCTAGTTTCTATCTTTACACGGCCAACAATTGCAGTTCGCCGCTGCCCTTTCTGATCAACCACAATAACTTCTTTACCTGCTTTTAGCTCTGAAAGATAGCTAGTCCTTCCACCTGGAATTGAGACATATGCATGTACTGGTCCCTGCACATTTCCATCAGAAACTTGGTAAAATAGAGTAACATATATCACAGAACAAATGAACCAGAAAATACTCCAAATAGAACTCCCAATACATGAACATCAGAACAATCAACCTATTTTCTTGCTGAAATCATATGAAAGAGCAATGCGATACAAGCAGAAATTTCTTCATAGTTTGCGATATTGTATCTCATTTGAATAATTCCACAAAGCAAATTTACATGAGATTTTAGTTTTAGCTGATGCAAGTTATCACATATATTCCTAGTAATGCAAAGAAGCTTCCTGTGTGGTTTCAAGTACTTTGAACAAATGGGCTGTACGAAGCAATGGCCTCATTCATCATCAAACTGATGTACATCTGGAAAAGAGTTGCTAAAATAAGAAGAGTTTTCATCTGCTAATATGTAAGCGTTTCCCACAAATTCATCATTATTTAGTAGATTTGCAGTCGAACTTTTTTCTATGCAAGAATTAGGACTTCATGGTTACTTCAGACCTATATAGACCACCTCATATGATGATATTTTGATGAAGGAAATTGAGCATCTGAGTTTTATATTGTCAACTTAGAGGTAGATTGCCTCATGTTGATTGAAGAAGATCTCTAACCCTTCTGTGTTTTATCCTGCCTGTAGTTTCAAGGATTTCCTAGTGGATTTCAAAGGCTTATTTATCATTCTCTTACTTCTTCGCACCCATTCTACATCATTAGCATATGATTCTTGATCCATTTCCACCTTCATAGGTACAAATGTCTTCATATGGAAATCATCTTACTAAAATAACAAGTGTATTGGAGAAATTATTCTGACAAACTTCAAAATTATGAGAGAGCAAATATTTCCAACCAAAATAATATATCACCAAAATAAGAAAAATAAATAAATAAAGAAATGCAAAATGTTATTTAAAATCCAAAACTGGCACTCGGGAAATCAATCAATTATCTAAGTGACACTTTTTGGATAGCTAATTATCAAAATGGAACAAAAACAAACTCACAAAATTAAACTACAATTTGAAATGGTAAAAAAGTCAGATCAACTAATTTCATTTTCAATTGTTCTCAGCCCAAGTTTCTCAAGTCCTTGCCAATGTTGAAACATAACAGAAAGCAGTGAAATCAATATTTTCTGAATCAGATTATTTGAATTGCATTGTTGTCATGCTTAATGCAACAATTTAAGGACCCAGACTGAATATTACAGTGAATGCCAAAATTTTCAAAAAGAAAACAGTCATCAAGATGCTGTTGCCAGCATGAGAAACAACTCACCGCATTAACACGGAAAGGCCTGCTTGCAATGTAACTTGACTCCAAGCACTCTGAGTGAACAAGGAATAATCCTCTAGCAAAGGAACCAACCTGTGACAGAATATTCATGCTATCATAATCGATAATATGTAACAAGCTCAAGGAAAAAAAATGGTATGCAAAGGATCCTACATGAGGAACTCGAAGGGTACCAGAAGTCCTTCACCAGGTTTCATGAGGCTACAGAGATCCACACAAACTCGATCACCCATTTCGGCTACTTGAACTCTAGTTACAATGGCTTTGGTCAAGCTCAACAGATTGTTTGCTTCATTCCTTATGTTAAAATAGTCCTGATAATATTAACCAGGATAAGAAGCAATCTTTACTGCTTATGAATCAAGGGGCCCCATCCAGAAATAGAATTACCTCTAACTTAAGAACAGCTTCAACATCTTCAACTTTTAGAACAACTCCACCCAAACCATGCTCCAAGGCCTACAAATACAAGAACATGAGTATCATAAGACACACCGATGCAATTAAGGACACAGCCATAAAACAATAATTTAAACAATAAATCAAGCATGCAAATTCCATTCTGTTCCTTGATCAAAGAGTATATTCAACAGATACCTCAAGGTAGATTTGTGCTTCAGAGTGAGTTTTTGAGATGGCAAACACTGTCTTTCGACTGCCTTGAAATGCTGCAACAATATTCTCTGCAGGTATTATCTGTAAGACACAATTACAATGATGACATAAACGTTAAAACAAATGCAGTCAAAGAGATAAATTTACAAAATATTCTACTACATTAATTCTTAGAAGCGAGTGAATCACTTGAAAATGGAAGCAAGAGATGTTCATGGAATAGAGGTAACATCCAGCAGATTTAATTGTTTGGAATTTAAAGCATGTTCACGTGATTCTTATAAAAGGAATGGATCACTTGAAAATGTAAGCAACAGAAGTTCATGAATAACAAGAAACATCCAGCAGATTTTATTTTTGAAGTTTGAAGCAAATTTTTAGGCATAAAATGTATTTGTTAATAGAGTAACAGCTAGAAAAGATAGCATCCACATCATTACATTGTGCTCGAGGGAGAGGTACTTGTAAAAAAAATTGCAGTTCTTTATATCCTCTCCTCCACTGGATAAGCACAGTGTTCTCTCAATAAAACAAACAAGTCCAGAACAATAAAGGATGGTAATTGACTTATTGGTTGGTAAAATCCTACTGACAACAGATTCTCCCAATACGGAGAAATCAAACATCCATACCTGCCAATCCAATAGATCAATAATAACATTCTCAGCCTGCCCATTTTCTGGTTGAAGCTGCTGCAATTCTTGGGGAGTTGAAACCTCAAAAATATTGGCAACTCTTTTATTATCGCCATCCAAAACTTCTCCTTCCTCAATAAATAGAGGATATATAAAGGCGATTGCTGTACACACCATAACCAAACTTCAAAATGAGAAACTTTCATCATGCTGTTTGCTCCATTTATTGATCATCTCTTTCAGCGCACTACTTATAATACAAGATTAATGCTAAAACTCATATCCTAATTGGTAATTATAGCATGGAAAACAATGTAGAGGAGGACGATTAATTAAAAGAGAACTTACATGACCACTCAATAGCAAGTTGTCTATGCTTGGACAAGAATATGAAGGTATTCCAACCTCTTTCGACAGCAGCAGTCATGACTTGCTTGCTTTCTGTCCATATCCACACCCTCTTCGATTTCTCATAAGTGCCCCCATCTGATGACATTGTGAACCCAGAAGTGGAAGAAGTAGAACACCTTGAAACACGAGAACTGTAGCGGAAATGGGTTTCCTTATTGTTGTTTTCTTTCATAGAATGTGAGCTCCTTGAACCCAATTTAAGTGTGTTCCATTTATCTGCGAGTATTTTTTATAAATACCGGATACAAATTTGAAAAGAAAAGAAAAGGTTATTTTATTACAGAAAGAGATAAATAAAATGGGTTTTGATGAAATTGAGAGAAGAAATTGACAGTCATTTGAAAGAAACCTGACAAAGGAGTGAAGCAGGAGAAGTGTTTGGGGAATGGGAATCCCAGGAATGAAGCGGAAGACATCAGCGTAGCCATGTTTTCATATAGATTCATTTTTTCTCGTTTGGATTTTAACAAATGGGCTTTTGGTACAAGTGAGATAGCATCATAATTGACAATTGGATTAATGTTTGTTTACGATTCGATTTGGAATAGATATTATTAAGTAATTGACATAAAATTTGTATTTCTATATAGTTTTGAATTATTTTTAAAAAATAATTTAAATTGCAATATATATATAATTTTCCAAGCGTTCTTTTTTGTGCAAAAAAGGAATGGATCACTTGAAAATGTAAGCAACAGATGTTCATGAATAACACTGCAAAGTAGTATTACATACTATGAAGCAATTTCGTGCAAGTTCAGAGATGCTAGTTAATGATCAGAAAACCCATGTCTATATCTCTCCCTACACATCTCATCGGCACCGAGAGGAATTAAGGGGACGTTTGAACTTCTCCTTTACATCAAACTTAAGAAGTTACTTTGCGATCCTTTTCCAAGTACATTACTGAAAAGATTCATTATCGTCTAGCAGGATGAAAAGTTTAATTATTATTGTTCTTTGATTCGGTAGACACTCTCAACCGTCTCCCTCTCCACAATACGAGTTGGTATGGCTTCATTCCACCCTTTGCAATCTAATTGATTGTCTAGCTAGGGGGTTTCTCTAGGGGTCTCTCGAGGATGGTTCTGGATTTCATCTTATCAATTGGGAGTTTGTTATCGCTTCGAAAAGAGAGGTGGTCTAGGTTTCCGGATGGCAAGGGACAATAACATTGTAATGTTAGAAAAACTAGGATTGGATTTGATTCAATGGATTTGATTCAATAGACGGATAAACTCTAGGTTCGTATTTTATCCCAAAAATACTTATATGGTGAGTCACTCATTGTTCATCGTCCTCCTTAGACTGACCTCCGCAATGTGAAAAGCTATCTATAAGTCATTTTCTTACTTGAAGGATGATTATATTTGGCTTATTGCACTATAAGAATATAAGCAATTAGTAAAGGAAATTAGTCATGGAATACAACACTACAAGAAAATAGGCAATTAGTAATGGATTCAATTCCATTGCCATTTAGCTACTAAATAACGACCGATTAGCAATGAAATCGAAAATGCATTATTTAGCGACGGATCGGTAATGGTTTTGTGATGAAAACAATTCCATCGCTCCGGAGCGTGGCAAAAATCCACATCAAATTCAATGATGGAATTGCGATGGATTAACGAAGGAATGTATCGACGGAATTGAGATTCCATTGTTAAAAGCATCGTTGGCGAAGTAATGGAAATTATTTGTCACTCCCTATCACTAACCATCATTGATACTATTCCATCAATAAATGCACAAATTCCAAGGATTTTTTAATAGTATTGGCGGTCGATTAAAATTCAACTTAGCGACGAAAACGATTGTTCCGTCGCGAATTAATGATGGATTAGCGAGAGAAAAATGTTTTGCACAAATTTTTAAATCTTTCTAGACAATTCAAATGGTCGTTTGAAATTCAAATTAGTGACGAACACTTAATTCCATAGCGACGGTTTCGCTATGGAAATGCATCCGTCACTAATCCTAAAACCCTATAAAGTTACGGACACTTTCTCTTCCCTTTTATGTCCCCCCCCTCTTTCCCTCTACTCCTTTCTCGTTGCCACCCTCACTAGCCCTATTTCTCCCCAAAATTTATCGGCAGTCTCTCCTCTCCCTCCTCGCCTTTGGTAATTTTCTCTCTCTCTCCCAAGATCTTTTATTTTATTTTTTCATTAAATTAATATGGTTAGTTATTAAGTTAATTTTGTTAATTGTTAGTGTTATGTTAAATTTTAATTATGTAATTTTTTAGGTAATTTAGATAAATTAGTCGATTAATTTTTAAGTTATTTTTTATTAATTGGTAGGTTAAAATATTGTTCGTTAATTATTAATTTTTTATTTAGTTTTTTTTTTATCGTTTTTGCTAGTTGTTAGGTTAATATTGTTAATTTGTTTGTTCTTATTTTAAAATTTAATTGACATTTCAATTAGAATTAATATAATTAGTTCGGATTAATTTAATTAATTTGATTTGATTTTGGGTTAATATGATTTAGGATTAATTTAATTATGGTTATTTGAATTGATTGATTGATTTTTAATATTAATTATATCCCAATTGGTTAATTAATTGATATTTAAAATTTAATTGGATTTGAATTAAGGTTAATTTAAATATGGTTAATTTTATGAGGTTTAGTTGAATTCATTATTAAATTAATTAGGTAAATTTTGATTCTTTTTTTTTAATTTTATTTATAATATTTTAATTTTTTAATTAATATCGATATTTAATTAATTTAATTAGTTAGGGTTAATTTAATTTGGTTAACTGAATTTATGGCTAAATTTAGTAGGTTAATTTTTTATTAAGGATTTAATTATTGATGTTATTTACGTTTTAATGTATTTAATTAATTGTTATCTTTAATTTAATTACGTTTGAATTAGAATTAATTTTATTATGTTTAGTTGAATTTATTATTAAAATAATTAGGTAAATTTTGATTATAATATTGTAATTTTTTATTTAATATTGATAATTAAAATTTAATAATTGGTTGAATTATAATTAATTTAATTACGTTTAGTTGAATTTATTGTTAAATTAATTAGGTAGATTTTAATTCATTTTTTTAATTTTATTTATAATATTGTAGTTTTTTAATTAATATCGATATTTAAAATTTAATAAACATTTTAATTAGGATTAATATAATCAGTTAGGGTTAATTTAATTTGGTTAATTGAATTTATGGTCAAATTTAGTAGGCTAATTTTGATTAAGGATTTAATTATTGATGTCATTTACATTTTAATGTATTTAATTAATGTTTATCCATAATTTAATTACGTGTGAAATAGAATTAATTTTATTAAATTTAGTTAAATTAATTATTAAATTAATTTGGTAAATTTTGATTATAATATTGTAATTTGTTAATTAATATCGATATTTAAAATTGAATAAATGTTTGAATTAGAACTAATTTAATTACATTTAGTTGAATTTATTATTAAATTAATTAGGTAAATCTTGATTATAATATAGTAACTTGTTAATTAATATCGATATTTAAAATTTAATAAACGTTTGGATTAGGATTAATATAATTAGTTAGGGTTAATTTAATTTGGTTAATTTGAATTTATGGTTAAATTTAGTGGGTTAATTTTGATTAAGGATTTAATTATTGATGTTATATATATTTTAATGTATTTAATTAATTTTTATCTACATTTTAATTACGTTTGGATTAGAATTAATTTTATTACATTTAGTTGAATTTATTATTAAATTAATTAGGTAAATGTTGATTATAATATTGTAATTTGTTAATTAATATCGATATTTAAAATTTAATAAACACTTAAATTAGAATTAATTTAATTACGTTTAGTTGAATTTATTATTAAATTAATTAGGTAAATTTTGATTATAATATTATATTTTGTTAATTAATATCGATATTTAAAATTTATTAACCGTTTGAATTTGGATTAATATTGTTAGTTAGGGTTAACTTAATTTGGTTAATTTGAATTTATGGTTAAATTCGGTAGGTTTGAATTGGAAATAATCTTATATGGTTTAATGTGAACTAGGATTAATATTTTAAGAAGACTAACTTAATTAATCCCTTAAATTTATTAGACGACGATTCACGAAATTAGAATTACATAAAAAAAAGTTGCAACAATTAAATAATTTAATATGATACCAAATAAATGTTTTATCAATTAAGTTACTTATTATTTGCCATCTAAAACCTTTCACTTACACTAATAAAATCCGGACATCCTAGATGGACAGCGTCAAAAAAATAAATTCATTGATGAGAATGAGTGTGAAAGTGCATCGAATGATAAAGATGATAACTTAAATAGCGGTTACGATGGTTGTAATCAAATATATATTTTATTTGTCGTATTAGTAACAAATGATGCATTTTTTGTTTTTTTTGTTTGTTACAAACAATAAATAATACCAACTTTGATATATCTTTAAAATGTTAATTATGTATTTTGATTGTGTTGTGCTTAAAATAGGTTGTTTATTAGGTAATTAGAAAATATCCAATTTTGAGTTTTTTTTTATTGCTTAATATTGATAATACATTTGTTGTGTTTAATTTACTTGTCGTAGCTTATATAATTCAGCTATTACTCGTGGTTTAGTTTGACCCCCACAATCACTATAGGATCATATTTCAATAGTCATGGATGTGCATCCCCATTTGATGACGATCCACTAAGATCCCCGACTAGAGTCAATGAAGGATCTCCGATGTCGGGGGTTGTACGTGGGTCCCGTGACTCCCACGACCATGTACGTTCTTCTTTTTCCTCCCACAAAACGTCTTCGGCCATAGAGGCTCCCCCAATAAAGGATCATGTATCGACATCAAAAGCGCCTACACTAGGACTAGAGGTTCTAGTATCGGCCGTAGCAAGTGCCCCATCCATCGACATATCTCGTTGCTCCAAAGAGCTCCCAAAGCTTATCAAATCGGTAGCATATTTTAATCGCTCATGGACGATATGAAATGTTTTAAAGTCAATATAATTATTTTTTTATCTTAATATATCAATCAATAATTATCGATTATTTTTTTATTTTCTTTTTTATGATGTTCGATAGTGTCAATGTACCCGGTAGAGATTATTTTACGAGGATAATCATGACTTTCAAGAAGCGAGTTGGACGTCGGTGGATCATCGTGAAAGTCC